CACGATAGGGTACAAAACCAGACTTTGCAGATTCAAAGGCATACAAACTATATCCAGCATCTTCTCCAACCATGATGGAATTAAACTTGATATTAATCTCAAGAAAAACCCTGGAAAATATGCAAATACATGGAAACTAAATAACCTACTTCTGAATGACTTCATGACTACTTTAGGGATTAAGACTAAAGTCAAAAGATTCATGAAAACAAATGATAATGAGTACACAAGTTTCCATAATCTATGGGACACTGCAAAAGCAGTCATAAGGGAAATTCATAGCAATTAGCATGCATAAGAAAAAGATGAAAAGGTGGGAAAAGGACCACGTAATATCACACCTCAGGGAATTGGAAAAACAACAAAAAAATGCAAAAAAATGCCAGGATAAAAAAAATAATAAATTTTGAGCAGAAATAAATGAAATAGAAAATAAATGAACTATACAGAAAATAAATAAAACCAAAAGCTTATTTATCTTTGAAAAGATAAACAAGACTGACATACTATTAGCTAGACTAATTAAGAAGAAAAGAGAAAAGAACCAGATAAATCAAATTCACAATGAATCAGGCAACATTACAACAGACATAATAGAAATACAAAACATCATTAGAGGATACTAGGAGTGACTATATGCCAACAAACAAGAAAATCTGTATAAGATGGACAAATTCCTGGACACATATAGCCTGAATAGACCTGTAACAAGCAATGAGATCAAATCAGTAATAAATAACCTCCAATAAAGAAAAGATCAGGTCCCGATGGCTTCACTGCTGAATTCTACAAAACTTTTAAGGAAGAGGTAATCCCCATTCTACTCAACCTGTTTCTAGAAATCCAAAAGGAAGGAACCTTTTCAAATTCATTCTATGAAGCCTCCATCATCCTCATTCCCAAAAAGGATAAGGATATAACAAAAAAGGAAAACTACAGACCTATATCTCTGATAAATATAGATGCAAAAATTCTCAACAAGATACTTGCTAACCGTATTCAACAGCATATAAAAAAGATTATTCATCACGACCAGGTAGGCATTATTCTAGGGATGCGATGGTATTTGAACATATACAAAACCATAAATATAATACACCATATTAACAGAAAGATAAGAACCATATGATCATTTCAATCAATAGTGGAAAAGCATTTCATAAAATGCAACATTCCTTCATGATTAAGATTCTCAGTAAAACTGGTATAGAAGGATCATTTCTCAGTATAATAAAAGCCATCTTTGAGAAACCTATAGCTAACATTATACTGAATGGGGAAAAGCTAAAAGTTTTTCTATTAAAAACTGGTATAAGACAAGGCTGCCCACTCTTTCTACTCCTATTCCATATAGTATTGGAAGCCCTAGCCATGCGATCAGACAAGAGAATGAAATAAAAGGCATTCCAACAGGGAAAGAAGAGTTGAAATTATCTCTGGAGATGACATGTTTGAATATATAGAAGACCCAATAGTATTCATGAAGAAACTCAAAATAATAAGTGCATACAGTAAAGTGGCAGGATACAAAATTAACTTACAAAAATCTGTAGCATTTCTATGTACAAACAACAAGCAGACAGAGACAGAACTGAAGAAAATAATCCCATTTGTCATAGCCACAGAAAGTATAAGATACTCAGGAATAAAACTAACCAAGGAAGTTATGGATCTCTATAAGGAAAACTATGAAAATCTTAAAAAAAAGAAATCGAAAAGGAAACAAAAAAGTGGAAGGACATCTCATGTTCCTGGATCGGCAGAATTAATCAAAATGGCAATCCTACCCAAATTAACCTACATATTTAATGTAATCCCTATAAAATACAAGAGACATTTTTCACAGATCTAGAAAAGACAATTGTAGAATTTGTCTGGAATCATAAAAGACCACGTATTGCCAAAGCCATCCGGCACGAGAAGAGTGGAATGGGTGGCATCTCTCTTCCTGACCCCAAAATACATTACAAACCTGTGATAATCAAAACATCATGGGACTAGCAGTTAGCGTAATGGCTATGTCGCTGGACTCCCATATAGTCGACCACGGTTTGAGTCCCAGACCCGGTGGCTTAAACTCATGCCGGGCGTGTGTGCATGCGTGCCCAAGATCCTGAGAGGAGAATGGAGGAGAAGGGATTGTGGCATGGCCATCCCCCCTGAGGGTGATTTCTCGCTTTCTGTCTATCTCTGTCTTTCTGGCAAGCGCGCACGCCCTATAGAAAAAAACCTCTCAAACGAACAAACAAACAAAACAGAAAACAAAACAAAACAAAACACCATGGTATTGGCACAAAAACAGACATGAAGACCAATGGCAAAGAGTAGAGACCCCAGAAATAAACCCCAAATATACAACCAACTGATTGTTGACAAAGGGTACCAATCAATTCAGTGGGAAAAGGAAAACGTCTTCAGAAAATAGTGCTGGGAAATCTGGATATCCACCTGCAAAAAGGTGAATCTGAACCCTTATCTGTCACTATTAACAAAAATCAACCCAAAGTGGATCAAAGACCTAAACCTAAGACCACAAACTATAAAACTACTGGTGGAAAACACTGGGGAAACTCTGGTAGGCAAAGACTTCTTAAGCAAGACTCCCAAAGCACAGTCAATAATCCCCAAAATAGGCAGGTGGGATTACATCAGATTAAGAAGTTTCTGCACAGCAATTAGTGTGAATTGACAACCCTCAGAATAGGAGAAAATTTTTGTTAACTGCCTCAGATAAAGGACTGATAACCAGAATACACAGGAAACTCAAGCAGCTTACCCAGAAGAAAATGATTAACACAATTAAAAGATGGGAAGATGAGCTGATTAAACAACTCTCTAAGGAAGATATATGAACATCCCAAAAGCAAATGAAAAAAATGCTCAATGTCCCTCATCATAAGGGAGATGTGGTTTTGGTAACTCAAAACCACAGTGAGATACCATCTAACTAACCCCAGTCAGAATGGTGAAGATTAAAAAAACAAACAATGCTAAGTGCTGGCAGAGTGAAAGTGGTGAAAGGGGAACTTTCCTACATTGTTGGTGAGAATGTAAATTGGTCCAGCCACTGTGGAGAACAATATGGAAATTGCTCAAAGACCTTAAAATAGAACTACCATATGATCCAGCAATTCTGTTCCTGGGTATCTACCCAAAGGACAGGAGAATGCTCAGTTGGAAGAGTGTTTGCACAACTGTAGTTATTGTGGTATTATTCATGATTGCTAAGACATTGAACAACCCAAATGTCCACAAACAGATGAATGGATTGAAAAAGTGTGGCACATATACTCCATGGAATACTATGCAGCCATCAAAAATGAGACCCTGGCATTTGATAGAAAGTGGACAAACATGGAAGAGTTATTGTTGAGAGGAGCAAGTCAGACTGTGAAACAGAGACATTGTATGTCTCTATGGAACATTTCTGACAGTCTACACTTTATGGTAGAGACAGAAAAACCAGAGGACATAAAAGCATTGAAAATTGTTATGGACACTGGGGACAAAGTGGAAGGAGAGCGGGAGAGGGGAAGAGTGCAGGAAGGGAAATTTGGGAAAAAATGGAGAAGTAAGACATTTGTGGGACACAGATATGGTTTGTTGCCTGTTGGTGATGTCATGTATAGTATTCTTGACTCACCTGCTGTGTGATATATATCATGTTGGGTAAAATCTCTTTACAAACTAAATTATATATAACGATTGTATGTATAAATAATAAAAAATGATAAAAAAAGAAAATTTCAGTAAAAATACTAAGTGAATCTGACAGTTAGACAAGTTTGGAAAACATTAAATGAGGAAAGCCATGAAAGCAGTGTATTGTTTTGCCAAATCTGCTATAACGAAAATATCTCAGATCAGCTGTTTTAAACAGTAGAAACTTATTTTCCCACAGTTCTGGAGGCTAGAATTTTAAGAACTAATGTCATTGTGAGGTTTGGTTTCTTCTGAGATCTCACTCTTTGGCTTTGATGGTCACCTTCTCATTATGTCCTTCTATGGTCTTCACTGGACCCACTTAAAACTCACGCCAGGCATGTGTGCGAGTGTGCCCAAAATCCCAAGAGGAGAATAGAGGAAAAGGGATTGTGGTATGGCTATCTCCCCTGAGGGAAGATTTCTCACTTTCTGTCTCTCTTGTGAGTGCACTCACCCTATAGAAAAAAATCTCTTAAAAATAGATATTTTAATATTTCAAAATCATTTAACTAGAAATCTAAAGGATAGTCTCAAGTCTTTATGAAAGAGGGAATCATTGGGACCCTCTCTTAGAATCTGTTACATATTTTTGTAATACTAAGACATTGTTAACCCTTGTCAACCTCAATGTGTATTAAGTGTAGTTTTCTAAAGGGTGTATGATGTGTGATGACATCACTGTAAGGGCTAATAACAATGAATTCTTGTGTTTAAATTTTTTCCTCAGTTTCAGTATGTAATATGAGAGAAAATATAAAGATAGCTAATTAAACCAAAACATTTCAGGCGTCCTAAATAATTTTTAAGAGTCTAAAAGGGTCCTGAAAAAATATTTCTATTAGAGAAAGTATAATTTGACAAGATAGGCTTCTGCAATGGTTAGGCACTCATAGCTTTGACAGACCTGGGTGGTAGTCAGTTTTTTTATCTTTACGCTTCTCTGATCTCTAGTTATACATAACAAACACCTCTTGATAATTCTAGTTGCTAAAATG